GTACCTTGTATAAAAATCAAGTAATTGATTTATTTTTTGTAATGTGACACTGTCGTTTTCCATTCTCCTAATTTCACTTAAATAACAATTTATCACTATTTTATGTGAAGTCTTTTAATAAGTACTTTAGTAATTAAGTACTTTCTTACAGGTTTAATACAGGTTGTCATGCACATGCAGCAAAACCGTCTGAAATCTGTGCATGTGTTTGTTAGTGAGGCTTTAATATTATTTATGATTTCTCATTCAGACGTGTGAGGCTCTGAAATAAACAGACTAGACGATTAGGCTAATTTAAAAACAGCATAAATCATCAGTTCTAACAAGCAAAGCTCTTTCTAAATATTGCCCATTGGCGTTTGAAGTGAGAGATCTGAAATATGAGAAAGCATCAGTCTGTCACACCACAAGCATGTGATTTTACACCCTTTCCTAATTAATGAACTTATACCTAGTCTGGGGTATATATCTTTTTTTTTACATAGGTTCAAGATATTTTCTTTAATATTTCAGAAATGTTTATTTGGGATTTGTATCCGGGGTAGCAGTGACTGTAAGGTTCAAATGAGGGGACAAATGCGCAGTGTCTTGTTTCTGTGGTACTGAAGGCTTGGTTTGTTCAGGTGCGATTTTACAACAGCCCTGGTGAAATGAATTCATATATAGCAAAACTGGAAACACGCATTACACATTAGGAAAAGCACAAAAAAATCATTAAATAATGTGACTTACTGTTATGTTATGTTGAATTAGCATGTAAACAACATCATATCTGTGTTAAACAGACTCATTACGTCTTTATAAGGCATTGATTGAAATAATCATCAGGAAAAATCCTGGAGAGTGACTGTGGGTTATTACAAGACTTGAACTTTTATGACTTTAAATAAATGCAAATTATATCATAATCAATATCAATGAAGTTCTCATTTATAGTTTCTCAACTGAGATATTATTTAAGATGAAAATAATGGCATAATATCCATTGTTCACCTGACAAAAAGTAAATCATTTGTTATCAGTCACATATTTAAATATAACAATGAACAGGTCTGATATCTTACCAGTCAAAATGTGACAAACAAGTGCATCTGTCATATCTGACACATGCTTATAGGGATTATGTGTTCAGGGCTGCGTTTTGGGAAACTGCAAATACTTGCCTTCCATACTTCTGTTCCTTTTCATAGTACAGTGTGAAGTAGTGTTGGGCGATGTCGACCAATTTGGCATCGTACAATGTCTAATGTGAAACATTGCGATGGACGATGGCATCGTCATCATAGGCGGAGTTGAATTAATTATTTATGAATAATTAATTAATTCATAACGAATTAATTATTTGTTGCCTACCGTTTCAACTACCTGACCCGCATGGTCTTTGTTTGACCCATAAACAAATCATAAATAAATACAGATATGTTGCACACAAATTACCACCTCTATCACTTTTCGCGGGAGGTTGGTCAGTAAAAAGGTGCCCAACCAACGGTATCTGAGGTTTTCACTAAAATGACTAAGTACAAGTGTGAAAGTGAAAGACTGAAGCAGTGTATTGATGCTGTGACACGTTACCTGAAAGATTCAAAAGACTAAAGAGTCGTCAGACAGAGACAAGATCAGTTAAATATCACGTTTAACAACTATAGTGAGACGCGATTCAGCGGTACATCCTTGATAAACTGTCTGACGTGCACTTCGCTCTGGAGTTCAGACAAGCGCATGACGGTGTGTGTGTGGCTGTGTGTGTGTGTGTGTGTGTGTGTGTGTGTGTGATGTGCGTTTTCAGTGGTGTGGATGTGGATCATTTTCGTTCTAAAATTAATAAAAATTTTAATACTAAGATGCATTAGTGTAAACGGGGCCTAAGTGTGTTTTTTTCGAGAGCGAGTTTGCGACGGGAGCGGAAGATCGGCGATGCTGGCTCAACATCGTGCTGTTTATTGGCCATCAGCGATGGACGATGGCATCGTCTATCGGCCCAACCTTAGTGTGAAGCATTTCAAGGACACGTTATCAATGGATAAAGGATTGTTTTTGCAACGATCTTCACACAGCACTGAATAAGTACCACAAAAACAATGTAAACTTGTTTGTGATCCATAATCGATTGTGGTCACCTTGCCCGCTTAGCACCATATGGATAGCTTTTCCTGTGCGGTCAGTTTGCTCGGTAGCTAATCTCGTATGATGTCGTGCTAGGAACGCAAAGCAGGACTGTTGCAGAAAATTGCTGCCGTGATACTATCTATTCTTTTTGAAAACTCTATCAGTTGGGTTTAGGGGAGTGCCTGTATGGCGTTTGCGGGGTGATATACAGTATTATGCACCACAAGCCTTGGCTTCTATATTTTCTGGCTTCTGTATTTGAGATTAGCAGAAATGTACAAAGCGGACTCTAGTAAACTTACGAGAAGTGTGTGTTAATGGCGGCGACACGGTAGTGCAGTAGGTAGTGCTGTCCTGTGGTGTGGCGTTTCTGTGTGGAGTTTGCATGTTCTCCCCGCATTCGCGTGGGTTTCCTCTGGGTACAGGTGAATTGGGTAGGCTAAATTGTCCGTAGTGTATGAGTGTGTGTGTATGAGTGTGTATGGATGTTTCCCAGAGATGGGTTGCGGCTGGAAGGGCATCCGCTGCGTAAAACATGTGCTGGATAAGTTGGTGGTTCATTGCGCTGTGGCGACCCCGGATTAATAAAGGGACTAAGCCAAAAAGAAAATGAATGCATGAATGTGTTAATGGCCCATATAAGAAAACGTAGCCCTGTCACGTTTGAGCACAGAGATGGGACACTTGTTGTCCTTCCTGAAATATTTACGTAAATCCTAATTGATAATACCCAGATATTTTTAGGTGGTTGTCGTATGGATGAACTAAATTGTCAATAGTGGATGAGTGTGGGGCGGACACGGTGGCTGAGTGGTTAGCACTGTCACCTCACAGCAAGAAGGTTGCTGGTTTGAGTCCCGATTGGCTCAGTTGGCATTTCTTTATGGGGTGTGCATGTTCTCTCTGTGTTGGCGTGGGTTTTCCCCCCGGGTGCTCTGGTGTGAGTGTGTATGGGTTTTTTCCAGTATTGGGTTGCAGCCGGAAGGGCATCCTCTGTGTAAAACATTTGCTGGATAAGTTGGTGGTTCATTTTGCTGTGGTGACCTCTGATGAATTAAGAGACTAAGCCGAAGGAAAATAAATGAATAAGTGTGTGTGTGAATGTGAGAGTGTATGGGTGTTTCCCAATACTGGGTTGCGGCTGGAGCAGCATCTGTTGTGTAAAACATATGCTGGAATTATTGGCATTCCGCTGTGGCAATCTATAAAATGGAGACTAAGCCAAAGGAAAATGAATGAATGTTATAACACAAAATTTAACTTTATTAAATTCCTTGGTGAATCAGTTCAGTAAATCAATAGAATCAGAGAGTTCAGAATAATTTGAAGCAATATTATTTTAGGAAAAAATTACTATCGCTGGAGGTGTACTATATATTATATATACTGTATGCACAGAGAAAAAAAAGGTTTTGTTTATTAGCAGTTGGTTTTTCCACTCCTCCTCTTATACAGTAACTGTACATCAGAGACCATGAAGGCGTTTTTTTCATGTTTTTCTGAACATTAATGGTCTAAAAAGAATATCTTATGCAAGCTTTATGTAAGGACATACTCTCCAAGGAACAAAACAAGATCTTTTAAACAGTTTCAGTTTTGAAGAGGGCTGAAAACGGAAGGCTCTCTGAAGTGAAAAATAAAGATGTGATTTGCAAGTCATCATGTAGTGTTAAGTGCATCCACACACTTAAACCTCCCATTAGACCCCATTGTAATTATAGTCTATTGTAATAATAGATTGTTTTGTGTCTAATACCAAAATATTTACCCAAAATAAGATTTATGTTGGTTGGTTTGGATTGTAATTGACCTTAACTACCTATGCAAAAAAAAAATTACTTGTTAGTTTTGAGGAGGGAAAATAGTGTAAACTTTGAAAGCATTATTTTGTGCTGCGGTGAGACATTTAAATTGATTATTTAATTTAACCTAAAATGTCCCAAAATATTTACCACTATATTATTTGGTCAATATATGCTATATGCTGTAGCAAAATGATTAGCCCCTATGTTAAATTGGTGATATTCAACAGATTAAAGACATTTTTTCTTTTGTAAGAAGTCTTATTTCTTTATTTCTTTTAGTTTGGCTAAAATAAAAATTATATATATACATATATATATATATATATATATATATATATATATATATATATATATATATATATATATATATATATGTGTGTGTGTGTGTGTGTGTGTGTGTGTGTGTGTGTGTGTGTGTGTGTG